GGAGGAACTGGGGATTGAACCCAGGACCTCATGCATGCTAAGCATGTGCTCTACCACTGAGCTGTTTCTCTCCCACACTAGTATTCCATTTACTACACCACAGTTTATTCACTCTCTTGCTGATGAATATATGGGTTGTTTCTCTTGTTTGGTAATTGCCAATTCTTATAGTCAAGGAAAGTAATACTTGCTATCAATTAGCCTGTGTGCCACTAAAATCTTTTTGGATATTCTTCTGACCTCTTTTCTTGTAGACTTAGGAAATCCAAAAAGTTAACATATAAATCTAGGTGTAACCTGCAATAACCAGTTAAGTTAGAATAACCCTTGAATTATCTTTGAATATCTTTTGTTCATGTGTGTCAATTTTTTTCACCCCAAGAAAGATTAATTAATATTGGATTAATAAAATTTCGAATCTGAACTTTCCTCTGAATTAGTGCAAAGTTATGTTGAAACATTGAATTTCTGGTGAAGAAAGTTGATGAAGAATTAATTTTCATAAGTTTTTCAGGGATAACCTTATGGGAGAAGATTTAAAAGAAGTTAGCTGTGAAAATAACATCATGTATTTGAAATATGCAGTGAATTTAGGGAACCAAGAAGGTACACATATAAAACTGTCAGTTTGCCTTAGACTGTCGTACTATCTGTCAATGAGAATTCAACACTTTCAGTGACATCCATGTGCATTTTCTTGCTGGTATGTTAAAGTGAGCATCCCTGTTTCCTTCCAGGAACAGAACCATGCCTGAAGGTGACAATTAGGGACAGCCACTAAGAAGGGCAATGATTAGCTGTGAATAGGTTATCATGTAAAAAAGCAGCGACTTTTTAGAAAGATTATTTACAGATTTTAATGGAAGGTTTTAATTCATCTTCAGTAGTTTCTGCTTAGCTGTATGAGTTATTCTTACACTTAGCTTCTCTTAGCCCTTCATACCTCATTCTAATGGAAGGACATTGAAGTCAGAGGACAAATATTTAGTTCTGCATGGAAAAAAATAGCTTTTTTGTAGTTCTTATTTGAAATGCTATATTTAAACATATGGAGAACTTCTACATTTGTAGTCTTCTTACCACCATCCTGTTTTCTGTGCTTTATAATATTTTCTTGGCTCTGAGAAATTCTAAAAATCAGAGAGCAATTTGTGCTATGTTTGTGTTTACTTTTTCTACACTGTTTTGTAATTTGACAGCATAGAACTAATAGGCCAAAAGGATACAATTTTTTTTCATTAAAAAATACCTTGATCATAGGCATACAGCTCAGTGGGTTATCACAGAGAGAACACCCTCACGTTGCCCCCGCCCAGTCAATAAATGGGATGCTACCAGCACCCCTGCAGCTCCTCTCCTTTTCCTGCCCAGTCTGTACCCTTCATCCTGACCTCAAATAACCATAGTTTAGTTTTGCCTCATTTTGAACTTTCTGCAAATGGAATGATACATCATAAATTCTTTTATATCTGGCTTCTTTCACTGAATCTTAGTCTATGAGATTCATTTCTATTTTTATGTGCTCTTCAGTTCATTCGTGTTTATTGTTGAAGAGTATCCCATTTTATCTATCGCAATCCATTCATTTGCCGGCGGACATGTGGGTGGGTCATTCCTAGTTTTTTGGCTTTGAAAGAGTACTCTCCCTGAATGTTATTGTAGATGTCTTTAGTGGTACCTACCTGTGCATTATTAATGAGTATCTACACAGTAGTAAAATTGTTGGACAAAATTCACTCAGTGGATTTATTTCAATTAGTAAGCCACTTAGGCATAAACTTGCTAGCAATCTTGGATTTTTTTTTTAATTGGTACTAATTTCAAATTTACAGGAAAGTTGCAAAAATATTATGGAGAACTGCTAACCCTTTATCCAGATTCATCAGTTTTTAATATTTACCACATTTGCTTTATCATTCTGTCTGTTTATATTTATATACATGCATACATATGCATATATATTTCTTTATTCTAAGCCATTGTGAGCAGGTTGCAGACACCATGTCTATCTTTATTTTAAATACTTTAGTGTGTGTTTCCTGAGAATGAGGTTATTCAAGAGTATGATTTTAAGCCAGTAATTTCTGAACTGTACATCTCTCCTTATCACTGGTTTCAGAGAAAACATCATATACACACAATTACCATGATATCTGGAACTATTCAGAATAATGAGAGGAGGTCCATAATACTATGAAATATACTTTCTTGTCACTTGAGTACCTTGTATCTTATTAGATGCATACAGTGGATCTCTAAATATTAATAGTCAAGTAAGGTGTAGGGTAGGTTAGTACGTATGCTAATGAATATTATATAATAAGCATGTTAATTTTAAATTTTAAATTCAGATTAGATATCCTTCTCCAGGACCACTATTCTGAATTATTAAAAACATGTATATTATTGTTTGTAAGCAAGCTGAGAAAAGAAAGTAAGGTCTTTTTAATATCATGGTTTATTGATTAGTGGGTTCATTTGCACAATATTGACATAGTAAAGGAAAGAGAATGTGCATTTGTTTTGTTTTACCTTATTTCAAATTAATTCTTAAAAATTTAATGTTATTTCACTGATTAGTAACTAAAATATAATTGTGTATGATAAGAATGTATATTTATATAGCATCCATTTATCAAATATTATATATCCTTCTATAAACAAACATCTTTCTTCCTCCTTATTGCTTCTCAGTTTTTAAGCCATTTAAAAAATTATTTATGTTGAAATTTGTTGGTCAAAAGTAAATTATAGTCATTACTTCTACTTATAAGACTTTTCAATGAGAGAATAAGATTTTTGCTGATGAAGAACTTTGTGGTTCAGTTTTGGTTCTCTAGTTCTCTCATATTTGCTGATAAAAATAGTATAATGACTCATTATGGGACATTATCAAAATTATCTGTGCTTAATTGATGTCTTATGGGAATATCTTTTTATTCTAAATCCTGGTTTGGAACATCTCTCTTTCTCTGTGCTAATGCCTATCCTTGTTTCCCTGTGGTACTAGACAGGACACTGCTTCAGAATCAAGGTGATTAGAGGTCTGAATGTTTTCATATACAAATTTTATTAATTCCTCCAACTGATTATCACCATTAATTTAGAAGTCAGTTTTGGCTGTCTCCTGAATGCATGCCATCCTTCCAGTGCTGTGAGGGAGATGTGAAGCCTGGTGTAACTGAAGGTCATGAATGATCATATAAAACATTGATTGCAAACAGAAATCCTGTTTCTACTCTATTCCATGTTGACATTTCCTTAGAACTATGCTGTGGCCTTCGATCAAAGCCTAATGTAAAAATTGAACTAATAGAACTGAATTTGCTAGTTTGAAGATACATATGTATATTTAAGGAGTTTATTTCAAATCCCAAGGAAATGCAGAGATGAGAATCCTAAAAGAAACATACTCATAAAGTCAAATCTGGTTTTCGCTGAAAAGGCTTATTGGTCTATTTCTGTTCGTGTTAATTTCTGACACATCGGTTAATTTGAGACGTTGCTGAGGCTTTTCAGACCTCCCACTGGGCTGGACACAGGAAAACACCTACTTCCTTATTATGGAAGTCTGACCGCCTCTGTGAGGACATCTCTTCCTCTTGACCCACATGCTTTCTGTGGTAGATATCCAGAAGCACTACTGAACAACTTCATTGAGAAGGATTATTCTTTGTTCTAGTTTCTGTGCTTTGCTCACATCACAAGCTCAATGGAAAACACACATCTCCATCTTCCTGTTTGGGACCACTGACATTTAGATTTCTTTCTAGTGTGGTAAAACACAGTATTAAAGATTGGGCTAGAAGGAGATGTTCAAAGAGAAAAAATTATTTTGGCAACATTGGTAAGATAAAAATGTGACTTTTCTGAGACTT